TTTCCCGTCAACCTCTGGACTCCGTACGATCAGTAGCATCAATCGACCTTTTCACCCGATCTAGTTGGTTGGTTTCTCGGGTCCCGTCAACTCAGCAGGATATCACATATCAGGTTCGTTGTTGGGTGTCTGGCTCGTGCTGACATTTGTTCCCTGTGCAGGAGGGCTTTATTGTAGCTATTGTTTGTTTTATTGTTAGGTTTTGTGATTGTGTGTGTTGTTAGTGTGTATTCTCCCGTTTGGAAATGTGTACTTTAGAATAAACGTTCGACATGACACCGGTCGTTAGAAACCTATAATCAATGTGTTTTGTGTTAATAAATATTGACAAATACTGAGGCTGGAGAAATTTTCTAGTGTAGTAGCACTTTTGCGCTCACTTCTACGCTCCACATGTGATCTGCAAAGGCCATTATAAAACAAATTAAAACCATCACGTGTGTCTTGTGTTATCTCATATAAATTGATAAAACAAAAGTAGTTCGCCAAACTTCTTCAACATGAAGTTTCTCAAAATAATTTCTATATAGTAGGATAAATTTTTAGTCAAGATTTATAGTGGACCTTATCGTTTAATCTGATTTTCGTTATCTGCTTGTACAAAATCCTTCATTTTGCTTGAATGCTAATAAATTGTTAAAATGGGATTGTTATAAAAGAAAGTAACTATCAACTTAATCACGATATACTAATATTTTTAGTTTGTTAAAAAAAAATCATAAAATCAAAATTGAGCAAGAAATCGAAAATGTTAAGAGTTAAAAATTATGAAAATAAATAAATAATAGGGTACATGCATGTAAGCAGTAGTACTCTTGTGCGCCCTGGCATACCTTGCTAGGTGTGCCAGGGCAGAAATTCACGCGCGAACCAAGGCTAATAAAAGTGGAATCCATAAATATTTGCTATCTTCCTATTTTATTAAGAAAACTATAAATCATTTAAGAATCTTAAGATATTTGTAACTTCCCACTTTTATTTACCGAAAATCAGAATAATTTTTTTTTTTTCGAATTTAATTCAAAACACTTTGAGGCGCTACTCATTTTCGAAACGTTCATCAATACTTAACTACAATATCAATACTCAATCCATTATCAATCATCATTTATCAATTCTGTAATCCAATAATCACTATATCCTAGGGAGTACACTCCCTATCAATACTCCATCATTCAATAATCAAGAAAAACAATAATAACAATATTCAGTTTT